TGGTACCTTCTAATGTCATTTGTTTCCCTTTGCCCCGATCTAGGTTTTTTTTTAAATTTTTATCAATTTATTTTTTGTTTTTAATATTTACTTCCATAAACTTTTGAGTTTTAAATTTTCTCCCCCTCCCTCCCCTTCCCTCTCCCTGACGGCATGCAATCTGATATAGGCTCTACATATACATTCCTATTAAACATATTTTCACGTTAATCAAGTTGTAAACAAGAATTAGAACCAATAGGAGGAACCACAAGAAAGAAGAAACAAAACAAAACAGAAGGGGAAAAAAAGAGCAAATAGTATGCTTTAATCTGTATTCATACTCCAGAGTTCTTTCTCTGGATGTGGATAGCATTTTCCATCATGGGACTTTTGGAGATGTTAGATCCTTGCATTGCTGAGAAGGCCTAAGTCTATCAAAGTTAGTCATTGCACAGCATGACTGTTACTGTGTACAACATTCTCCTGGTTCTGCTCACGTCACTCAGCATCAGTCCATACAAATCTTTCCAGGTTTTTCTGAAGTATGCTTGTTCATCATTTCTTGTAGCACAATAATACTCCATTACATTCATATACCACAACTTGTTCAGCCATTGTGCAATTGATGGGCATCCCCTCAATTTCCAATTCTTTGCCACCACAGAAAGAGCTGCTATAATATTTTTGTACATGTGGGTCCTTTTTCCATTTGTATGATCTCTTTGGGATACAGCCCTAGAAGTGCTATTGCCGGATCAAAGGGTATGCACATTTTTATAGCCCTTTGGGCATAGTTCCAAATTGCTCTCCAGAATGGTTGGATCAGTTCACAACTCCACCAACAATGTATTAATGTTCTGGTTTTCCCACATCTTCTCCAATATTTATCATTGTCTTGTTTTGTCATGTTAGCCAACCTGATAGGTATGATGTGGTACCTCAAAATTGTTTTGATTTGCATTTCTCTAATCAATAGTGATTTAGAGCATTTTTTCATGTGACTATAGATAGCTTTAATTTCTTCATCTGACAACTGCCTGTTCATATCCTTTGACCATTTATCAATTGGGGAATGACTTATGTTCTTATAAATTTGACTCAGTTCTCTATATATTTTAGAAATGAGGCCCTTATCAGAGACACTGGTTGTAAAAATTCTTTCCCAGTTTTCTGCTTCCTTCCTAATCTTGGTTGCATTGGTTTTGTTTGTGCAAAAACTTTTCAATTTAATTAATCAAAATTATCCTTTTTGCATTTCATAATGTTTTCTAACTCTTATTTGGTCATAACTTCTTCTGTTCTCCATAAATCTCACAAATAAACTATTCCTTGCTCTCCCAGTTCGCTTATAGTATCAGCCCAGGTCTAGTTTTTAAAGAGTTATTTTCTTTCTTAAGTTTTTGGGTCTCTTTCCCCAGTTGGTTGACTTTTTTTTCATAATTCTTTTAATCTTCTTGAATTGCTCTCATCTTTTTTTTCTAATTTTTCTTCAACGTCTCTTATTTGATTTTTAAAGTCTTTTTAAAGTTCTTCCAAGGACTCTTTTTGGGCTTGTGATCATTTGACATTTTTCTTTGAAGTAGGAGTGGCTTTTAAAAACTTCATTATCTTCTTCTGAGTATGAACCCAGATCTTTATTCCCATTGTAGTTATCTGTGGTTGGATTCTTTCTCTGTTGTTTATTCATCATCATCATTATTATTATTTTATTTTTAGTGTGTTATTATTATAATCAAGTTCTCGGCCGGAATTGTGGGGAGCAATGCCTCAGGCTTCAAGGTTTTCTCTAAGCGCTGCCTGGGGCCCTTCCTTGAACACTCTTCTCTGTCCCTAAGCCGTGGGGGGCTAGGGCCCCCAGTCGTGTGTCACTGCAGATGCTCTTGCTCCCTGCAGTTCCTCCCGTAGCTACAAACTTCAGCTCACTCCTCTGCCCTGGTACTGAAACCAGGGACCCTGCTTTTCTGCCTACGCTCACAGCCAGCAGGGTCCCTGCTCTTCTGCCTACCGCATGAGATTGCCCCTCCTCACTCACAGCTGCAGCCCAGATCCAAGTGTGGTCAGCACAACTGGGCCTGGTGTCCAACAACAGAGGAAGGTCCTTCATCTTCCCTACTCAGTTCTCCAACCCGCACACTGTTGTTGAGGTGAAAGTTCCTGAAGCTGAGATCTGACCCAGCTGCCCCCAGGGCTTTTTGTTTGTTGATTCTGAGGGTTATGCTAGGGGTGTTAGCACTTCAAATAAGCCAACCTTGTCCCTGGAGGTGTGCGGTCTTTCCTGCGGTCCTCCCAAGTTGTCTTAGGAGAACATCTGCTTTACCTCAACTTTTAATTATTTCTGCTGCTCAAAGTTCACTTTCAGGTGATGTTTTATCTTGTTTATAGGAGAAATTTGGAGAGTCCAGTATTTCCTGTCTTATTCCGCCATCTTCCCCCTTTCTTCTTTTAAGATTATCAAAACATAATAAAATTCAATCCCAGGACTTCCATCTTATTTGATGTCTAAGATTTCTGATGATATTTTGGTTCTTAGAGGAGGCTTGTATTATCTCCTGCTCTCCATTAGAATGCATATACTTCTTCCATATAAAGTCTTTCCCCAGTTTGCTACTTATATTTAACTTTTTCTCTGTACTCCTTTTTTCTCTTTTCTCCCATGTTTATATTTCAAAATTTCTATTGTAATCTGGAAGCTTGGAAGTCCTCCAGTTATCAATTTTTTTTCCCCTTTTAAGGATAATATTTTGCCTTTTAGAATATGGTATTTCTTGTTTCCCTTTCTTTACAGTGTTAAATTTTGTGATCTTTACTATGATTTCTTGGTTGTTGTTCAGTCTTTTCAGTCATGTCTGGCTCTTCCTGATGCCATTTGGGGTTTTCTTGGCAAAGATACTGGTATGATTTGCCATTTCCTTCTCCAGCTCATTTGACACATGAGGAAACTGAGGCAAACAGGGTTAAGTGACTTGCCCAGGGTCACACAGGTAGTAAGTGTCTGAGGACAGATTAGAATTCAGGTCTTCCTGACTCCAGCCATGGTGCACTGTTTAACGTGCTACCTACCTGCCCCAGATTCCTTGGTACTTTAACTTTTTCTGGGTGCTTGCAATATTTCTTTTTTGACCTTTGAATTTTCACTTTGGCATTACTGGGAGTTTTCGTTTTGGAGTTTGAAGAAGGGATTGGTGGATTTTTTTTTTCTCTTTTCACTTTGTGCTCTGATTCTAATATGTGTGGGTGGTTTTCTTTCATGATTTCTTGAAATATGATATGCAAGCTCTTTTTGGTCATGGTTTTTAGGTAGGCCAGTGAAACTGATCCTCTTTTTGATTTGTTTTCTAGGTCATTTGTTTAATATAAGATATCTTACTTTTTCTTTCTTTTTTTTTTCTGGCAGTCTTTTTCGCATTGTTTTAATATTACTTTTTATCTCATAGAAGCATTAACCTTCGTTTGGTCCATTCTAATTTTCAGGTTTTTGTTACTTGGGGAAGGTTTTGTACCTCTTGTGCCAAGCTGTTAATCCTTTTTCAAGTCTTTCTTCTATAGCTCTCATTTCTTTGCTGTATTGCTCTTATTTCATTTCTAATACCATTTAAAACTTAGTTTTGTAAACTCTTGCATCATTTCTTCTCTGAATTCTGATTTGTTGGACAAGTTGAATTTTTCTTTGAGGTTTTAGTTGTAGATGTTATAGAATTATTTTCTGCATGTTTTTATGGTAAGCATCCCTGACATCATAATAATTTCTTTTTCTTTTTGTTTTGGTTGTTTATTCATTTTTCCAACAATTTTCTCTAAGCAGACCAGTGTTTGCTGTCTTGTCATGGATTTCTTGGGGCTAAATTTGTGATCTTAGTCTGCCTGAGGGATCCCCATGCTAATGTCCTGGGTGGGGAGCTGACTACAAGATCTGCTCAAAGGTCTGGGGACTGAGTCCCTGCTTCTAGACCTCTCCAGACCCCAAACTGTTGGCCTGGGCCCAAAGCTGATTCTGTGGGTCAGCTCTGGGCACTACAAACATCTCAGCCTGCCTGGCCTATCCTTAAGTGCAACAGAGGCAGTGATGTCAGAATAAATAGAGGGCTAGCTTTAGATTCAGGAAGACTTGGATTCAAGTTCTGCCTCTGACATCTACTTAGCTATACTACCATGGGCAAGTCACTTAACCACTCAGTGCCCCAGACAACTTTCTAAGATTATAAATTACAGACAAGTTATCAATCTGCATCCATGCAAGGAGTTTCCACACTAAGAATTTCCTATGTAGATGAAATAACAGGTCCCCTGTCCCCTAAAAAAGGTAATAAAACCAAAGAAAAAGAAATTGAGCTTTGTTTTGTTACCTTCAAGATATTCCCTTGAATCGATTTAGCAAAAGTTTAAAGATTTTTAAATTTACATTTTTTTCCTAAGTTTCTAAGATGTTGATTTTACATTGTTAATGAGTAAATTAGGTGAGGTACTAATAGAGTGCCGGACTTCGAGTAAGAAAGACCCAAGTTCAAATCTTGCCCCAGACACTTACCTGCGATGTGACTGGGCAAGTCACTTAACCTCTCCTAGCTTCAGTTTCCTCATCTACAAAATGGGGGTAATTACACCTATTTCACAGGATTATTGGGAAGATCAAATGATAATATATGTAAATCGCTTTGTGAACCTTAAAACACAATGCAAATATTAGCTGTTGTTATTATTACCATCAGAGCCAAATAGGATGTGATTTTATCCTGTCTAATAGCATCTCTTGGGAGGTAAGAAGCCAATCCCTTTTTGTTGTTGTTATGATAACCATAAAAAACATGTGGCAACATGGAGTTTGCAGTTATACCATCCCTAAAATATGAGTGTAAACACATTTTATAAGCAATTAAAATATGTAGCCTTTGATGCTTTTAAAAAATAAAATGAAAAATAAATCCCAAAGGATCTAGAGATTATTTTAGTGGCCTTTGATCATTTTGATTATCATCAGTGCATTTTCTTTGAGTTAAAATAAATTTTTAATGTGTCCTTAGGTTAAGACATCAGAATTTTATAGATATTCTCGGCAGCTACGACATGAAGTTGACCAAGCATTGAATTACTTTCATAGTGTTCACCAGCAGCCTTTGATGGAAATGAAATCCAGCCGTATCCGTTCTGCCAAACCCCAGACTGCAGTATTCAGAGGAATGATAGGACATAGCATGGTAAATAGTAAAATTCTTCTTTTACACAAACCACGGGTCTGGTGGGAGCTGGAGGGTCCACAAGTACCTCTACGACCAGACTGCCTTGCCATTGTGAATAACTTTGTGTTCTTGTTAGGCGGGGAAGAACTGGGGCCAGATGGTGAATTCCATGCTTCCTCCAAAGTGTTCAGGTATGACCCAAGACAAAATACTTGGTTGAGAATGGCAGATATGTCTGTACCACGTTCAGAATTTGCAGTTGGTGTTATTGGTAGGTACATCTATGCTGTGGCTGGAAGAACAAGAGATGAGACATTTTATTCAACAGAGCGTTACGACATCACTGAAGACAAATGGGAATTTGTGGATCCTTATCCAGTCAATAAATATGGACATGAGGGGACAGTGCTTAGTAACAAGTTGTTCATCACTGGTGGAATTACCTCATCTTCCACTTCTAAACAAGTGTGTGTATTTGATCCTAGTAAAGAAGGGACAGTGGAACACCGAACACGAAGAACTCAAGTAGTTACTAATTGTTGGGAGAATAAGTGCAAAATGAATTATGCGAGATGCTTTCACAAAATGATTTCTTATAATGGTAAGCTTTATGTGTTTGGTGGTGTCTGTGTGATCTTAAGGGCCTCTTTTGAGTCACAAGGATGCCCTTCCACAGAAGTTTATGACCCAGAGACTGATCAGTGGACTATCTTGGCATCAATGCCAATTGGTAGAAGTGGTCATGGTGTAGCTGTATTGGACAAACAAATAATGGTTCTTGGAGGCCTTTGCTATAATGGTCATTACAGTGATTCTATTCTCACATTTGATCCAGAAGAAAATAAATGGAAAGAAGATGAGTACCCACGGATGCCCTGTAAACTTGATGGTTTACAAGTATGCAGCCTGCATTTTCCTGAATATGTATTAGAGCATGTTAGACATTGCAGCTAAAAATGTACATCTTCCTTAAAAGAAAGAAAGCAAAGCGTAGTATTTAAGGCTCTTAAGTACTTGTTGGTGTTGTAGTAGTTACTAAATGCATAAAAAGAGAAACAGGGAATGCACCTCAACAGTTTTACTAGCAATGCCATTGTTATGGTATTGTAAAATTTTCTTTTCTCCTTGCATTTTCCCCCTTTTCAGTGGCCTCATGAGCTCATGCAGTAAATTCATTCTAGAAAATAGCAGTTACACTTATAGCCTCTGGAAGCAGTTGAATAGAATGATCCACTTGTCTGGAAAATTGATTTTATACCTTAAAAAACATTTTAAATTGTCAAGGTAGGATTTGGCAGTCTTCTAGAAGAACTACCTTCAAGTGTCATTTAAAGTGATTTCAGTCATTTCTTCTATCTAAAGTCTTTTGGATTGCTCATTATGTCAATGTTTCACTTTTGGTTTTGTCACACAAACAGCTTAAAACTTAACTTTTTGCATGGCTTTTGTATAGTAGTCTGCTGAAAATGCAAAAATATAAATTTTCTACTAAATTAACAACTTTTTATACTCAAAACACTATTTCTATGCTGCCTTCTATTGTCTGCATTGTGTTTGTAAGTGAAGAAAATATATGCACATGTGAATACATAATAAAATCTATATACAGTGCATCTTTTTGTGTGGTTAGGATATTACATTTTTAATTAGTGCGCAAATTGTCAGTCATACTTGTTGAGTTTTAGATGTAGTAACATCTTTTCATGTATTAATAATAAAAAAAAATTAAAGTAACTGGAGGCCTCATTTGGTATCAAAGTACCGTATCTTTGATACATACTGATTGATTCAGTAACATTTGAACTCTTTATATTCATGTGACATATATAAACTCATGAAAATTAAGATTTTATATTTATTTAAAAAGTAAATATTAAGGTAAGCCACATCAATGTTTGTCTTTCACTTTGGAATATGTTTCTCTTTTCAGTACATTTGAATGTCATTCTACATGTAGTGAGAACTGGATATGTCTAAGCCCTAATTCTGCAGTGTGCAAGCACTTTTCACCACTCCAAAGGTGGTTATACTCTACTGTATGTAATTGAGATTCAGTAGTGGTATTATTTATAGTTTCTATTTGAATCTAATAATAATTTTCAGGTATCATCCAAGGGTGTTGGATTATGAAAATGAGAAACATAAATTTTAAAATAGGCCATATTTACCATTTCTTTACTAAGAGAGAAATAATAAAATTATCAGCAGCTATTATGTTTACCCTCATGCCCTTTTCTTCCTTTAAAAGATTTTTGGTGATACCACACACATAATTAAAACACCTTACAAAATAAGTTTAACTTCCATTTCCTCACTCTCTCTCTCTTCCCTCCACTCCCACTTCTGCCAGAGTGGGGCTATGTACATCTGTTATTAAGCATAAACTAACAGCCCTTAGAAAATTAGAACTTAATTCTAATTGCAGACATTATGAATAAACTGTTATCAGATTAATAATTACTTCCTCACACTTTTCTTATGAAATTTACTAGCTTATTTTTTTCTTCCAAACTATGTAGTGGCATTGGTGATCAAACCCTCATCTTCTGTCTTTTGTACTAAAGTACCATAGATCATGAAGAATCATAACCCCAAAGTTAAAAAATGATCAAGAACAATTTTTAAAAATACATTTATTAAGAAGGGTGCTTTAGGACTAAATGTACCTTTTAATTATTTAAACTCAAATAAAATTGTTTAGTTGAGTGTAACCTAGGAAATTTGTTTCCTGTGGCATGCCATGACCAAATTGGTGTCATTTTTCTCATCCTCTAATTGGCCTTCAGTAGGCCATGCCTGCACTGGCAAGTGTAAGATGTAAGACATTTGTGCAATATTACAATGCTGTTATGTAAATTTTCTAGTTTTATATAAGTTTTGACTGCTGCCATCATTGAAAATAATGTGGCAAGGTGAAAGAACTTCCAAAGAAGAAACTTCATGGTAACTCTCCCCTTGCCCCCCCAATCCAATGTAGATTATACTGTGAAGTAAAATCTGGTTTAAAAATACCAAAATTGTTCATTTTTGTGAGTAACAAGCAGTAAGTAAATGAGTAGGTATATAAAAATTGCAAACTAACCTTTAATTTGAGAAAAGTCATTATTCATCTGCTTAAAAGACAAAACATTTCATTAAAGTAACCTTTTATAATTCAAACAACAACTAAGTCTATGATTGAGCAAGAGATTAATCTGGAACTGTTCATCTGAGAGCAAAGCTTGCAAAGAAGTTTTAGTTTTAGGATATGATTAATTGATCATTGCTTTTCCAGGGTTGTGTACACGAGCCTTCTTCATCTTTTTAAAAAATAGACAAATTCTTGACATCTTAATATTTACTACAATTTTTTTTCCTTTTAATAAGATTTTGTGAGCAGACTGTCTTGGTAAGGTGTTTTTTTATTTTTTCTCTAAAACTGCTAAAAGTTTTTCTTCTTAGCTAAATGCGAACTGAGAAAAGTTTCTTCTTCTTGATATATTTCATTCATCTTTATGTCTTTACAAGTGCTTCATCTTATTATAGATGAAGAAAACAAGGAAAGATAAAAAACACATTTTATTCTGGTGCCTACATCCAGGGTTTTTCTAACTGTAAGTGTATTTTTGTTCTGCTTTTGCTGTTTTTCTGCTTAGCTGTGACTAGATAGCCATTGTTAGGGAGAGATCTGAGAAAATAGTCAAGTTCATATGCTTGATATTTTATATTAAAGGTAATAAGGCCAAGATTAAAGTTTATAAAACAAACACCTGTGAAATCCTAACTTGAACAATGGAGTTCAGTCTCATGAAAATCCTTTCTAAACTGATGTTACTGGTAATCAGTTTTGAGCATTAAGAATAATTGATGTTTGCTTGGATTCTGAATGTATAATGTCCAAGAGAGAACTTTAGCTATGGATATTTATATTTCTAATGGAGATTATTTTAAATCCATAACTAATTTACATTCCCTTATAAAATTGTGATTCAACTGTAGAGATTTATTTTTGTTAAACTATAGGAATGGTTTTCATAAGGATTTTTTTCAAGTTTATTTTACTATATGTTTTTTCCCCCAGAACCATTTGTGCATTTTTATCAATATGTTATGCCTATGCTCAAAACAGTGTTTTTTAAAAGTACAGATAAGAGATTTGAAAACTATACAGTGTCACTGTTGTGATCTTTCTACATACTTAATATAAGTAAACTTTTTAACTTTTGGACAGATAGGTCATTTTTATTTGCCCTTCTTTATTAGACAATTTGTTTCCTTGCACTTCTTCAGTCTTCCTTTTCGTGGTGATATGAGTTCTGATGCTAATTTGCTTAAAGAAAAAAATCTTGTAGTACAACCTTTTCATAAAATACAAAGCTTTCCCACTGAAGCTTTTGTTTTTAAAGATGTGATTAGGAGAAATGCTACTGGTTTTAAAAAACAGTTTAATTAATAGAGTATTATTTTTTCCTGAGACAATTTTCTATTCCTTCGTCTTGCCCTGCACTTTGCTAGAGTTAAGGTAATAAATTGTGAAAAATTTACTGAGCCCTTCTCTAACCCTCTTTGAACATGTACCTTATGAAGCCTAATTCTAGAAAGCATGCTGTCCTAATGTTAAAAGGCACACTTATCTAGTGTGTGAAGTAATAAAGTAAGAAACAGATGGAAAGGTTTGTCTTAAGTGAAATTAAGCATTAGAATGTTCTATAATGAATTATTTGTGATAGGTACTCTCCTAGAAATGTTAAATATTCAGTGGGCTCTTCACTTTTATATATGTATATGTGGTGTTAGGTCATAACATTTCAGTTTGTATAAGCTATCAGAAATTTTTGGAGAATCTATAATTTGAAAGTCTCAACTAAAAATAAAAAAATTAATATAGGCCCAAATATAAATTAGACATTGAGAAATATTTGGCAGTCAGCAATGAAAATGTATTGCTAATGGCAGCTTTCTTAGGTCACTTAGCCTAACCATACATTTTAAATCTTGTTTGCACGTATAACCATTTTTAGAGATCATGAGCTTGATTGTATCTTTAAACTCAATTTGAAGGAGGGGACCCCAGAAAATTAAAGAACCTCCCCTTAAACAAGAAAGTACTGAAATTTAGTCAAACTACCAATAGAGTTAAATGTTAAGTAAGAGTAGAGTGAAGTAATAGATAAACTCATGGAAGTCCATTATCCTAACAATACTTTAATATAACTTAAATACTAATAATATAAGCTATAATAACATTGAGAAAATTCCATTTTTTACTTTTTAGTTTTTTCCTATCGATAATCTTGAATTATTTTATAAACCTTTGGAAATAATTATCATAGGTTGAAGAATTCTATTAATCTCATGTTACCAGTATGCCAGTAAGGGATGGGTATTTGCTTTCTAAAAGAATGTTTCCAATAAGGTAATTGGAGAAGTTATTTTCTACCTAGCCTGTATGCACCATGGCTCTTGGGCATACATTGTCTATAGAAATATTTTGAGCTTTTATGTACATTTTGGGCTAGTAGTCTTAACAGCAACCCTAGGATTGTTATAAAATTCTTAGAATAATTTAAGGTTTGCCTTTTATAACTGTTTTGAAAAGCCTTTACATTTTTGTCAGGTAATTTTCCCAAACTGTGGATACAATCTGTTCAGACATATATGTATACGTTATCCATTCTGTTTTTAAATTGAAAAAAAAATGTAAAAAGTGTGTATAAAGAAATTGTAAATAAAATATTTTTAATCTTTAAAACTTACTCTTTGTCCTTTTTAATTAATATCTACATATATACTCTTGCTTTCCAGTTCCCCATGTGAAATCATTTAATTTCTTAATATCACAAACTGGTTTATATTCAACTCAGTTGGAAGTAAGATTTCTGAATATGTCTTCAATCTTAAGAGTCTGTGGGAAATTATTTAACATGATTTTCAATAATTACAGTCAAGAAGTTTCATCAGACAGCTTTTGAAGGTTTGAGACATCAACTGTCACTTTTATGCGTCTTCACTTTGTTGATGAATTTTAGTTTATGGTAACTAAAAGTCTGCACCCAAATTGGATAGCCTTTTTTGACTCAGAACTTTTTTTTTTTTTTTGGCTAGGCAATCGGGGTTAAGTTACTTGCTCAGAGTCACACAGCTAGTGAGTGTTGTGTGTCTGAGGGCAGATTTGAACTCGGGTCCTCCTGACTCCAGGGCCAGTGTTCTATCCACTGCGCCACCTAGCTGCCCCTTTGACTTGTAACTCTTAAAGGCCTTCCTGAAATTTTGGGTGTAGGCAGAAACAGATTTGCATCCATATGAGTGCCTATGGCAAATTTCCTCTGAAACACATCTTGAAACTGATCAATTTGTCACCTAGAAGTTTCACTTAATTACCAACATGGCAAAATATTACTAGTAGCCGTAATATTACCTTGTTTTGAGATGATCAATCCAATATTGAGTGGGTAGATTTTTTTTTTGTTTTTAAATTACCCATATAATTGTGTATTTTATGATTTTTGTCAAGTAACTTTTAACTTTATAAGCCTCATTTTCTTAATAAAATGTGAGTTTTTCTAAGATGGTTTACAACACTTAACATTCTGTGGAACTTCCAATCAAGCTGAGGAGACAGGATAAATTTCCCTAGTTAAATAAATGTGACTATCTTTTTCTTTGGTTAGGCAAAGGGGTTAAGTGACTTGTCCAGGGTCACACAGCTAGTAAGCGTTATGTGTCAGAGACAGGATTTGAGCTCAAGTCCTCCTGAATCCAGGGCCGGTGCTTTATCCACTGCACCACCTAGCTGCCCCTGTGACTATCTTTTTCCAAGAAGTGCCTTTCTTCTAAGAAAAAAAATTGCAATCATAACAGTAGTTGACATTTTAAAAATAATCTCACTTGCTCCTTGTACGACCCTGTGAGAGAAGTAGGACAGGTACTATTATCCCCGTTTTGCGTTGAGGATACTGAAGCTCAAACAGATTGTTACTTGCCCAAAATCACAGAGGCAGTATCAGATACAAGGTTTGATCCCAGGTGTCTCCTAACTATTCTAACTAGTCTAGAATTCTTTCCACTAGATGGAACTGGATTTTTACACCCATGTAATTTGCAATATAAATAACTTTCCCTGAATTTGGATCAAGTACTTTGTGACTAAAGTACCTAAGATTATTGAGTACTATTCAAATCAGTAGTTGCATTGGTACCTCCGAGGTAACATTTTTTTTTTCAAAATACTGTGCACCATAATCCATGTGAAATGTGGGAAGAGAATATGAAACAGATTGATCATATAGCTATCCAAATAGAAAAAGGACTGTGTCACCTGAACAATGAATTAGATACACCTCCAAGAAATGGACACCTGAAAAATGTATTAATTATAGGCTGTTCCAATCTTCTTTCCTAAACACTGCCACGGTACTCTTAAATCTATATGTCCACCTCAGTCTCTCTCTTGAGCTTCAGACCTATACAAAATGTCTTTTGGACTTCATAAACTGGATGCCTTTTGTAGTCATTTAAAACTCAACATGCCAACAACAACTCATTATTGCTGCTTCCCAAAATCTTACTAAATTTTTCTATCACTGTCAAGGGCATCACCGGTCACCCAGGCTTTTAACTTTGGTTCCATCCTTGACTGTTCACTCTCCCTTACCACACTTAGGAGCATTAAGGTAGCGCAATTGATGTGCTGAGCCTGGAATCTTGAGTTCATCAAATCTGGCTTCAGACACTTAGTACCTGTGTGACCCTGGGCAAATCACATAGCCCTGTTTACTTCAGTTTCTTCATATAAAATGAGCTGAAGAAGGAAAGGGCAAACCACAGCAATATCTTTGCCAAGAAAACCCCAAATGGATTCACAAAGAGTCGGACTTGACCTGAACAACAATACACCCCACTTCCCAATCGGTTGTTAAATGTTTTTGCCTCCACATCAGCTATCATTTCTATCCTTTTTTCTTTACACATATAGCCACAGTCTTAGTTCATATGCTTTGTGCCTCTCAGTTGGATTTTCCCATGTCTAGAATGCACTCTTCCCTATGCCTCTTAGAGTTTTTATGTTGATTAAATATTTAGCTCATGTGCCACTTTCTACATGAAGCCTTTCCTGATTTCCTCTCACCAACTCTAGTTAATACATTCCTCAACAAAATTAGCTTGTATGAAATGAGATGTTTGTAAAGTACTTAGCAGTGTGCCTGACACATGGGTGCTATATAAAAATGTTTGTTTCCTTCTCCCTTTGTATCTTTTTTGTATATATCTACATATGTATATTTTGTCTTCTTTAACAGAACATAAGCTCCTTGAGGGAAGGGGCTTTCACTTTTGTCTTTGTATCCCCACCACCTAGCATAATGTCTGGCACATAGTAGGTACTTAAATGCTTGTTGATTGAATAAGTAGGGAGTATCCTACTTAGAATATTTTTATATTACATGGATCAGGAGTATGCTATCATAGAATTTAAAACTGAAAGGGACCTTTGAGCTCATCCAGTTTAGCTTTCTTGTTTCATAGCTTAGAAAATTGAGGCCCAAGAAGAGAGTAATTTGCCAGAGATCAGACAGGTGACTAAAACAGGCCTGAGAATTAAACTTAGGTACTCTGACTCCAAATCAAGTGTTATTACTCCCACGCCACAGCTATGGAAAGTTAAATCATTCCAAAAACAATTATTAGAATAATTGAATTTGGGAATTAGAAGGGACATCAGAAGTTATCTAATTCAACACATATATGAAAGGAATCACATAATATGTCTGACAAGAGGTCATCTCTGTTTATCATAGCTAAGTGCTACACTACATAGCATAGAACCTGGAGACAGGAAGACCTGAATTCAAATCCTGCCTTAGTTACTAGCTGTCTGATTTGTGCATGTCACTGAACTTCTCTGTGTCTCAATTTCCTCATCTGTGAAATGAGGGGATTGGATTCAATCATCTCTTAAGATTCCTTCAGATTTTAAATATATAATCTTATCATATAAAAATTCCCATTGAAGAGCTCACCACTTCTCAAAGCAATTCATTCTATTTCTGAGCAGTTCTCACTGTTAGGAAGTTTTTCCTAACATGAATCCTTACTTTGCCTTTGCACTGAGATGTGCAAATTTAGAGACATCTCCATTCCAAATGTTCATATGGACTATCTGTGCCTGACCTGTGGTAAGCCCTTCCAAGCTCATATTGGTCTGATCAACCACAGTGGGACACCCTGTACCTTGATCCCAACATAGAGATGTCATTTTGGTCCTCTTCGAGAATGAAGCACAACCAACTAATTGCCCTTGGTGTGTCGTCTGAGGCCAAACAGATCAAGGCTAATTCCTCCTCCATGTGACAGCCCTTCAAATACTATCATGTTCCATCTGAGTGTTCTCTTCTGGTTTATCATTCCCTAGTTCCACCAAAAGATTCTCATATGTCATGGAGTCAAGGTCTTTTATCATCCTGGTTGCCCTTTGAACCCTCTTCAACTTCTCAAGGTACTTAAACTGTGGTACCCAGAATTAAACACGATAAACCAGCTGTGGTTTGACGAGGGAAAGGGGACTATCACTTCAATGCAGCTCAGGGTGGCATTTTTTGTCTACTCTGTACCCAACTGACTCATGTTGAGCTTGAAGTCTACTAAAACTACTTTCTAACCATTGTGTCTCTCATTCTGTATTTGTCAAATCAATCTTTTGAACCCAGATTTAAGATTTTACTTTGATTGAATACAATCTTGCTAAATCCATCTCAATGTTTTGGCCTGTTAAGGTTTGGGTTGTTTTTTTTTTTTAATCCCTGTCTATCTCATCCAATGTGTTAGCTATCCTTCCCAGCTTATTGTCATTTGCAAATTTCATGAGTATATATCTATGTCTTTATCCAAATCTTTCACCAAAAAAAAAAACAAAAACCAAAACAGCACAGGGTTAATTACAGATTCCTGGGGTACTCCACTAGAGACTTCCTGCCACATTTACATTGAACTATTTGTAAATTAAAATTTTAAAACAATGAACAGAATTTACTTTCTTTCTCTTTTAATCTCCACTCCACTCCTACCCTCCCCCACGCTCACTGAAAAAGAAAAAAAATTATTGAAACAAACGTGCCTAGTCAATAGTTGGTCATGTACAGGCAATATATATCTCATTCCACACCTTGAGCCTATCACCCTTCTGTCATGAGGAAATAGCATGTTTCATCAGTGCTCTGGAATCATGATTAACAGTATTTAATCAGAGTTCTTAGTTCTTTAGAAGTTGTTTGTTTTTAGTGTTGACAAAGGAAGATGAATCAACATCTGATGAGGAAGAGAACTCTATTGATTTCCAATAGAGCATGGAATCACAGCAACATGTTCCTGAATGGTTTAAAAGAGAAAAAAGAATTGTGAAAGCAGAATTTATAACCTGCACAGCAAAAGTAATTGGTAGAATAGAAAAACTTGAATCCGTGGTGGCAAGTCTCATCAAAGAAAGAAGAGTTTAACTGATTGGGAATGTAAAGACACAGAAGTGAAGGACAATCTGGAAAAAGAGAAACAAAAAGCACTAACATTAAAAGAAGGCATGATCTCTACACAATCAAAACATATTGATCTCAAAGACAGAATGAGTAAAGACAACGTAAGGATTATAGATATCTCTGAAGAACATGACAAGTAAAAAAACCTGAAAACCATAATGCAAGAAATAATACAAG